TATTAGAGAATGAAGATACTAAAATGTTATGGTTATATAAATTATCAGTTAATACACAATTGCAATTAGTTGTTGTGGCCAATTGTTTTGAATGAATTACGGTTGAGCTTAATGGATTGAAGACTCTAATCTTGAATGAAAATCCACATGCAAAATATATTCATTGTTTTGGTCACCAATTGCAATTAATTGTTGTGTCCGTAGCACAAAAAAAGAAGTTTGTGAGTGACTTTTTTGAATATTTGTCCGTAGTTACTAACATGGTAGGATCTTCTTGTAAAGGAAAAGACGAGTTTCGGCAAAAACAACATGAAGCCATGGTAGAGATGGTAGAAAAGGGTGAACTTACAACTGGGAGAGGATTGAATCAAGAAAGTAGTTTAGCTAGGCCGGGAGCTACACGTTGGGGTTCACATCATACAACCATTATTCTTATTCTTTGTATGTGGTCTCCTACCATTCAAGTTCTTGATAATATATTTGATGATGGAATTGATCTAAAATTGAGAGGCACTGCTAGTAACTTGGTATAAAAGATGGAGAGTTATCAATTTGTTTTTATTGCTCACTTGATGAAAAAAGTATTGGGGCTGACGAATATATTGGTCACATTTCTTGCAACAAAAAGATCAAAACATTCTCGAGGCTGTGAGCTTAGTTAAAAGCACTAAAGCTAAATTTCATGATTTGAGAGAAAGTGGATGGTATGATCTCTTGGAAGATGTCAATAGCTTTTGTGGCAAGAACAAATTTGACATTCTTAAAATGGAAGAGACGAATCATCGTTCTAGACGTGTTCGTCACCCGATAACAAATTATCATCACTTTAAAGTTGATATATTTTGCCAGGTGCTTATTATTATTATTATTATTATTATTATTATTATTATTACCCAATACTTATTTTTGCTTTGACATTATTATTATTATTACTATTTTTTTCATTGTAGGTGATTGATCAGATAAGTCTTGAGATAGAGAGCCGTTTTAGTGAGTCAAACACAGAATTACTCACTTGTTTAGCATGTCTTGATCCTAGAGATTAGTTCTCCAATTTCTGTGACTCAAAGCTACTAAACCTCGCGGAATTATATTCATGCGATTTTATATCTGTTGATCGAATGGAGTTGAAAGAGCAACTCCAGGTGTGGATATATGAAATGAGAACAAATGAATTATTTTCTGCCGTACAGACTATTGGTGAAGTTTGCAAAAAGATGGTTGAACTTAAAGTTCACAATACTTTTCACTTGGCATATCGTCTGATTGAGTTAGTTTTAGTATTACCAATTGCAACAGCCACCGTTGAAAGAGCCTTCTCTGCGATGAATATTATCAAGACAGATCTTTGCAATAAGATAGAAGATGATTATCTTACAGATTACTTGGTGTGCTACATCGAGAGAGATGTTTTTAGGAGTATTGATAATGAAAGTATTATACAACATTTTCATAATATGAAAACTCGTACGCTTGATTTACCAAAGTTGCAGAAATGAACTATTTAATACTCCCTCCGTTTCTATTTGGTTGACACACTTTCCTTTTTTGGACGTTTCAAAATGAATGCAACACTTCTTTATTTCCTTATTTGGTAAACAAATCTTTACCTAAACAGTGCAAAATAGTGTCAAACAGTGTTCAAACAGTGCCAAACAGTGTTCAAACAGTGTTCAAACAGTGTCAAACAGTGTTGTACTCTACAGTAAAATTTACCCCGCAATAACTTTTTTCCCTTAAATCTTGACAAGTCAAACTGTGTCAACCAAATAGAAACGGAGGGAGTATGTAATTAACTACTCCGTATAATTTATGCTATTGCCTTACTTTTTACCATCTTTATTACATTTGAAAATTTTATTATAGAGTAAGTTTAGTGTCTAGTGTGCTCCTACTCTGACAAATCTCTGGGTCCGCCACTGCCGACTAGTTTTTGTCTTTCTAATGTGAACTGGATATGGAAAGAAATATCCTCTTTGCGGAAAAACAGTTGATTTTATGGTAAGATGTTATAATAAGTTTGTGACAAAAAGCAAAAAATCCGAGCAATAGCTTAATTTTTGGCCTAAATTAAAAATCTATACTAGCTTCTTTTTAGGGAGTTAGGTTAATTGTTCCTATATAATCATGACTGATAAATGTGATTAGTGCTATGCATTTGTATTTAAAATCAATATGTGATTTCTAAGTGCTTTCGTATATATTTAGTGTTGTGAAACGCGGTTAACTAACTGTGTAAATTATTTTGGTTAAAAGAACTATGTAAATCATTTCATGATAATTTGGTAAAGCATTAATTATTATTTTGTGAGTGGATAAAATATTGATACGATCATTCGGCAGCCAAATATACTCCATCTTCTAAAGAAAACCTAAATTTTAAAGTATCACAATTTGTAAAATTCAATAGGAAGTACAATTTTTTATTTTTGACTTCTAAGTCGGTTTAGAGTTGTTTACAAGATTGAAATGAGTACAGCCGCAAAGATCATAGTTACATTTCAACTTATGGTAAATTGATAAGGTACTTTTCGAGTGATATACATGAGAAATTCAATGTGACAGTTTAGATGTATGCTTTAAACAAATTGAAAAGGGAAACCATTGACCAAAACGATAATAAGGCTACCCGCAACCCTTCGCCGTCAATAAATCTACTTTCCCACCAGTTTATACGTATTTACTCGGTCAATTCAATTTGTCCTGCAACCCAGCACCGTCAATATATTCACTCAGTAAAGTTTTATTGAATTGAATCCTTACTTATGTTTTTATACATCAATTTTTTGTCATTCTTTTTTTATGAATAATTATGATTTGAAATATCAAACATTCCGATGTAAAAATAAATAAATTTGGAGTTTTATTTTTTTATTGCTACTTCTGACCTATTTTTTCGAAAATTAAGTGAAAAGTGTAAATAAATATTTTAACCATTGGATCTTAATATTAGCATTTGGATCTCTAAGATTTTGGGCCTAAAAATCTCAAACAGATGAAACTTCATACGTAATACTTTTTAAAATATATATATATATAAGAGATATTGATGTCATATGAAAGATAATTAAAAATTATGAATTTTGATATATTTTTTATAAAAATTAAATTAATAATAGAAAAGTTAAATCATTTTCAAAAAAATTGGGATATTTTATATTCGTGGGCCCTTGCTTATGGAAGTAGTGCAGACTTGCTCCAACTGCTTTCATCACCCGGTGAATAGGGATACCAATTTCCACTCCATGGGGTGCCATTCTCTCAATTTGGCATCCTCGTATACATGGGTTGCAGCAAATTAAGGGATGAAAATCCCAATATTGGCTTTTGACTCTTCGGGTTGCAGTCAGCCTAACATGTGGAATTTATAAATAAGTGGTTTTAATTCGTATTGAATCCTATCGATATTTAAACAATCAAATCAAACATGAAAGGCATAAACAAACTAACGTGGACCATTTTACCGAAGTACGAAGTATAATACTCGTAGAAATTTCTTGACCAAATGAATATTTTTCATTAAAATTATTTTGAAATGTATTTATTATTTCTTTATATATTTCTTGGCCGTCCGATTATATTCATAAATCAATTAACTCTGTTTCAAAATTAACTACTTAATTTAAAGATTGATAAACTTGAGTAATGTTCCACCATGATTACTAAGAGATCGTTTCCTAAACCCAAATGTGTTGTATTGGCAGACTTTATTGAAATTTACAAAATTTTGTGAGAAATAGATGAATTGAATGGACTTATTGTGCTAATTTATGAAAGAGATATTATCCAAAATGGGACTAAAAAAGTTTGGAAATTCCAAAATAGAACTTCCATGTTTTTATTCCCAAAATAGGACTAATTACCGTCATGTTTTGGCAGTACCAGACTTCAAACATGGCAGTATTTTCCAAATTTGGCAGTAATTAGTCCTATTTTGGGAATAAAAACATGACAGTCCTATTTTGGAATTTTCAAACCTTTTTAGTCCCATTTCGGGAACTTCCCCTTTATGAAAATGGCTAAAATCATTCTCTATATACAGTAACTCCTAGTAATATAGTCAGACAAATAACTATAACATTACTTTATCGTATTATTACACAATTTAGAAACCTAATCAGAAATTCCATGTTTAATGAAAAAGTTGACTAATAAGTCCGATAAACCAAAAAACATGATCACCAAACATGTTCTTAATTACATATTGTGCACTACATACGTAGTATAATACTCCCTACATCCCCCAATTAAGTTCTCACTTTCCCTTTTGGACAGTCCCTAAATTAAGTTCACACTTCAATAATTTCCTTATTTGACAAATAATCTACATCAAAACAGTGCCAAATAGTGTCCAAACAGTGTTTAAACAATGCAAAACAGTGCATTCCACAGTAAAGTCAAATTTATTTTCTTAATATGTGTGAAGTCAAACCAGGAACTTAATTGGGGAACGGAGGGAGTATAATTTTATGATTTATGGTAAATTAGTATAAAAACATTATTTAAAAGTACTTTCATAACTCATATTACAAAGAATTTTTAGGAGGAATTTTTACTTTACTGCTTCATTTATTTCTGATGTTGTTGATCAGACTATGTTTTATTTTATCATTTTTTTTAATTGTAAGACTCTTGCATTAGGATTGAGTGATGTGTGGTCTGCTTCAATTGTAAGTGGCTCATGTTTGCCCATTAATGGATCAGCGAGTTACATTGCTTATTTGAAGGCGATTAATTAACTCGGAGTCTGGTTCGCGGGCTGACAGTTGTCCGTGGTTCCTTACTTTACTTATTCCCTTTCTGAATGCTAATGCTTTGATTTCAATTTAAGCCCATTTCTTCCCAAAAAAACTCATATTACAAAGTAATGTGAATAGTTTTGAAGATATTAATTGTCAAAAATTATAAAGTTTGACCTAAAAATAGTGAAAACATGAATCAACAAATAAAATACTTCCTATAAATAAATAAATAGGCAAAAAGGAAAGGGCGGAAGAGACAAGTTGGCCTACAACAAATGCTCGGCTCATTGCCAGGCCGGATTCCTCTTGCTGTCGTTGGTCACCCTATCCAGCTCATCCGCACGCATCCCCTCGTCTCCTTCTTTTCCCTTTTTACTATATATTTATTTCTTCTTTCCCAATATTCCTCCACAGCTCCACTGTTATGAATACCCTTCTTCATCTCATCGATCAATACTTGAGATAATAATTTTTAATAATAACCTTAACCGGGCGGCAACCCATCATGGATCCCTGTCCTTTCGTGCGAATCAACATCGGGAACTTGGCGCTGAAGTTTCCGTCCCAATCAAAACCCCCGCCGGCGGATTCTTGCTACTGTAAATTCAAGCTCTGCGGCGGCGGATTCGCCACCCAGTTCTCAACGGTGCCGGTAATCCACGGAGAATCCGACGCGGCTGTGGAGAGCCGGATTCACACGTGCTACACCCTGAAAAAATCCGATCTTGAGAAGCTGAACGGGAAGGGGAGAGCGACTTGTAGTCTGAAAATCGATGTTTTCTCTGAAAGGGGCGCTGTAGGGTGCGCGCTTCTGAAGGGCGCGAAGCGATTGGGCGGCGCCGTCGTGAATTTGGATTTGAAGACGATTGCGTCGGCGGTTAGCAGCAGAGGCGTTCTGTTTCAGAACGGGTGGGTGGCGATTGGCGGTTCTACGGCTGCCCAGCTTCACGTTAATGTGCAGTCGGAGCCCGACCCGAGATTCGTTTTCCAGTTTGACGGAGAACCCGAATGTAGTCCGCAAGTCTTTCAGGTCAACGGGAATGTCAAACAGCCCGTTTTCTCTTGCAAGTTCGGCCTCCGAAGCGGCGGCGATTGGAATTTGAGATCCAGGTCAGTTTGATTTTATAATTTTGTGTATATTTATGAGTAATATGGATTCTTCAATGGAGTTCCTAATGTTTTAATTTTGACTGTACAGATCTTCACTTTCAGAACAGAGCACTTCAACGAGCTGTTTTAGTGGTTCAGGGGAGAATGGGAAACCTATAAAAGAGCGAAAAGGATGGTCAATCACTATCCACGACCTTTCCGGTTCGCCGGTGGCCGCCGCATCCATGGTGACGCCGTTCGTTCCTTCTCCGGGCAGTGACAGAGTCAGCCGGTCAAACCCCGGCGCCTGGCTCATTCTCCGGCCCGGACAGGGCACTTGGAAGCCGTGGGGCCGCCTGGAAGCGTGGCGGGAGTGCGGCGCCGGCGATTCTCTCGGCTGCCGGTTCGAACTTATCCCCGACGGGATAACAGACACCGTCACGCTGGCGAATTCGACGATCAATATGAAAACCGGCGGCTGCTTTAGCATAGATATTATGAATGGGCCGACGCCGTTGACGAGCCCAAGTAGCAGCTTCGATTTCAGCTCCGGGTCGTGGTCTGGAACTGGGTCGGATATCGGGTCGAATCACGGGTCCGGGTCATGGGCGCACCTGTTTTACAGAGGGTTCGTGATGTCGGCGGGAATGGGCGGCGACGGGAAGTGCGGCAAGACGGAGGTGGAGGTTGGGGTTCAGCACGTGACCTGCGCGGAGGATGCGGCGGCGTTCGTGGCGTTGGCAGCTGCCTTGGATCTTAGTATGGATGCCTGCCGGCCGTTTTCTCAGAAGCTCCGGAAAGAGTTAAGACATTCGGATCAAGAGTCGTGATAATCGGGTCCCCGGACAATTCGTTCGGGTCCAGTTTTAGTCTTACGTTGTATATTTTCAAGTACGGTTTGATTTACAGCCAGTCTTACTGATTGGTCAAATTGTTTATTGCTTAGGCTTAGATTTGGAGAAGAGAATTGATATGCCCACAGACGATTTGTTTTTTGTTTCCTTATTGATTTTGTCAAGCACTAATAAACCTCAATTATTCTTTAAGGCTAAGTTTTAGATTCGAAAAAATGTTACTCCGAATGACAAAAACCGAAACAAAAAACCCACTAAAAGTTAATCATGTATAGTTATAATGCGAGAAGAAAGTAAAAAAGAAATATGGTCGATGATTTAGATTGAATACAGTTTATATTATAGATATAGATATAAATAAGTAAATAAATAAATAAATAACATTCAGATGATCATTTGAGTCATGCTTTGTAATCGATAGCTACACTTCCATAAACTTTGTGCAATTTACTGTCTTAACTTTGGAAGATTTTTCTTACACTGAGATGTTTGTTGCTTATTTTATTTTTCCACGCGGACCACAAGATATAAAAAATTTATGGGAGAGAAAAATATCCGAACATATTTACGGAGTACATATTAGTTGGACTAAAAAAAATTGGTGTGGGGATATCAGCCCAAACGTACCAGGCAGGCCCAAATCAATCATGGGCTGGTAAGGTTGGGGATGAAAACGAACATGGACCCAGGACACCTAAACCGGATGTATGGCACACTGAAGGGAGCCTTGCCCCCAAGTCCCAACAAACGGATCGGACTGCAAGTTGGCACAACACTATGTTGCCCGATAGCGAATCAAGAGCTCGCCGTAGAGCCGCATCGCTCGTTACACATGGGTCACTAGCGAGTTAGGGGCGGAAGCAAGCTGTGTTGCACACACTTCTTATTTGAAAAATGTATGTATTTTATGCGTAAAAATTTATATGAAAAAATCTTTGTTCGGGTTAATGCCGACTTTTGTTCTTGTCCACGCCATGGGCCCGTGGTCTCCGCGAATGCGCGTACATCCTCTCACGCGTTAAGCCACAAGCATGTTTCCCACTCTCGCGGTCTCGCCACACAAAGACGTGACTCTTTATCAAAATTTAGTTTTTGGCAAAATTTCAAATATGAGGAGAAGAACATCCATGAATTTTGATAGATGAAGAGCCAACCAAAGAGGAGCTGATATGTCAACCTCTCAAGAGTGAAGTAGCACTCTCAACTATAAATATCCTCTATTTGTTCTATTAAAAGAGGTTTGTTGCTGCAGGGATTACTTGAGGACATTTATTCTCTATGTAAATATATTCGTGACAGGATTACATTAAAATGTACGTAGTACTCCGTATAAGCTTAATCTCAGTGTATTGTATCATGTATCCGAAACCTAATAGAGAGGATTCAAGTTCTATCTTCTCCTTTTAACTAACACCACTTAACCCATACGAATTACTCCCTAGTTGAACTTATGAGATGAGGTTAATAAGTTATTAACCTCGACATTTGATTATCAAAATTGACAAATTCATTCACCATTATTAAGAGAACACGCATATGAGCTTGGTGAAATAATATGGTGACAATGATCCAACATATAATATCAAGAACAGGGAAATTAGTTCCCGGTCGAAATGGAGCAAGTTGAGGAATGAGTTGTCAATCAGTCAATGGGCATCACATGTTTTGCTGTTTTTCTGGGTGAGAATCCAAAGCTGGGAGCATCTAGGCATGTCTAGATAGGCAAATCCTTCTTGTGAACTTCCCACCCCTAAAGAAAAGATGTAAAAAAAAGGCCATGATACTCTTTGAGTAATGAATAAAACGGGAGGACATCAAATTTATCAGCAATCCTAAAATGTGATATGTTCTTTTTCAATAATTTTTCATGTACACATTTTTTGTACAAACTTCTTAGACAATATGTAGTGAGCAAGTTATCTTTTTCTGTGAACAGAACATTCACAGAGGTGTGTACAAAAAAGTATCTGATTGAGTATATAGACCCCAATGGGAGGTCTTGTAAACCTAGAACATAATTAAATAGAACATTACACTATTCATCATATTCTTTCTCTTACTAGCTCAATCTCTCCTAATTAATTGTACGTTTGGATACCCCATAATCAATTAATATGTATAAATGATATTTTTCATTCTTTTAACTAAGTGTCTAATCTTTTAAGCCATCCAAACGACAAACAATAGTAAATGACCAGCAATAGGTCAATTTTCCTACGAAATGCACACGAAATAGACTATTGTAATTATTATATTCGGAGTAATGTATTTAACTTTTTAAAATATTCTCACCTTTCACTACCATTTATGTTACAAAAAATTACTTCAACCGCAATAACATGGCTATATTCCAGCAAAAGATATTCATGGTACATGAAATCAATGGGCTTTTTCCAAGTATTCCATATGAATGGTCAAGCTAATATTGGCAACATTTTGTCAATTACGAAGATAAAATGAGATATACCACAAAAGTCAATGTCCACTAACATATGATACTTGGACTTTAGTTTCCATTGGTCTTCACCTAAGAAGACCTATGATTTGATATGAACTTTTATATACTCCGTATATGCCCACTCACAAATGATATTTGGACCTGATTTCCATTGGTTTTTACCTAAGAAGGCATACGATTTGATATGAGCTTTTATTATATATGCCTAATTTATTGAGACCGAAGTTTTTCATATGAGAGTCACTTGAGAGTGTTTCTTCTTTGCGCATCAACCCGAACTGAATTTTATAACTTTGTCAAATTTTCTTATCCTAATATAGCATTTAATCTGAATATCTTTGATAAGTCTTCATGTTTATAATTTGTTTCATCTGATCTAGCTTGAGAGATGTTATAAATGATGTTGAATATGACAAAATACATGCTGGCACCCAAAAATTAGTATGTAGGGTTCTTAAATTGTGGATCCAACTTGACACCCACACTGAGGCCCTCGCAAATTATAAGGAGTATTAATATCGAAAAGTATGTTCAATCGATGTTTTCAATCTAAGATGATGCCAAATCAAATCTTAGTTGCTAGATCTAAATAGATCACATAGATAATAGGAGGCAGTTTGGTAAGCTTGTTTTTCAATTTATAAGTTTTATTAATCAATTTTTCAACAAACACGTAACTTTACATTTCACATGTTGAATTATACTCCAATTCAGCTATTTCCGCTGAAGCTGCTGTAGATGATCATTTTTTGCTATTTTTCATTTTTTTTTTTATTTTCGTAATGAAATACTAGTGTATTTTTAATGCAATTTTTCATAATTCAGTCATTTCAGCCAATTTAGTGTTATACAAGAGGCTCTAGATCATACTTAATCAAACTGGAACAATATAAAAATACATAAAATATGAGTAAGTAAACTTGAAAAAGCTAGATGTAATAAAAGACTAGTTCAGATTAGATCAACTTTAAACAAATTGGATATGACTATATCAAATTTAAAATTTTGAGTCCAAACAAAAACAATGTGAATATAGAATAGTAAAAACTACTGGTAATATAGAATTCTAAGCTAGAACTTTTATTGAGACAACAATTTAGGGTGAAACCACAAATTTGTATAGTACTATTTTCGTTCCACTAACATTGAAACAAAAAGGAGTGATGGAGTTATAAAGAAAAATGAAATCATGTGGACATGTGATTGATATTATATTGGTAAAATGTGAATAAATTAAGAATGAATTGTAATCACTCAAATATTACAATATTTGCTCCAATTGTGGACATGTGGACATGTGGTTGATAGTATAGTGGAATATGAGACAAAGTTAGTGGTATGGATGAAAAGATAAAAGAGACAAAGATAAAAGTAGGGGGAGTGTTAAAAATCGCTCCAAATTGTAGTGTATTGGTTTTTCCTGGCACCCATTACTTGGGTAGTCCATATGGGGTCAAGTTGACTTATATATTGACCCTCCAGTTATCTAACATGATTTGAAAAGGATGTCACAGAAACATTTATATGACATGAATTAAGCATCAAACAATAAATCAATATGTAAGATACTATTGCTACATGATTGCTGCCATGAGACTTACCTGAGAGTAGGGATGCCCCAGCAAACCACTGAAAGCGGACTACCCTATGTGCATTGTCGGTTTATCAACGCATATAGGCTCAGCCGTCCAAAATGCCAACTGTGTCATGACTTGATGGCCTATGCACACTGGGCCACAGTCAACCTCCTGACCAAGCCCACTTGAGTTGGGGTTAACCACAACTTTAATCAAGTGAATTGGTCCTGGTTTTATAACGGTTGAGGTCCGATTAAAAAATTCGGCCTATTCTTTTTATATAAAAAAAATCATAATTGGAATCGGTCGGTCCAGTTGTATTTTCGAAGAACTGGAATCAGTTGAACCTACCCAGTTTCGGTCTGATACCAATTCCATCTGTAACTCTGTATTATCTATTCAGGTATGTGCAACGCACATTTGAACTTCTTTTCGAGGAACTGGAATCAGTTGGACCCACTCGATTTCAGTCCGATACTAGGTCGGTCCAGTTGTATCGGGGAAGAACCGGAATCAGTTAGACCTACTCGGTTTTGGTCCAATATCAGTTCCAACAGTAACTCTGTATTAACTATTCAGGCATGTGCACTTGGTGAACTTATTCAAATTTTACACTCCACTTTAAAGAAGGATAATGCAAACTGATTGTAACTTGAAAAGTTGGAAGTCAGAGTTAAACTTCTTTTCAAGTGATAAACACAACTCTATTAAAGCCTTATGACACCCTCATTTTTTATAACTTCACATTCAAATTTTCTACCAAACTGTTACAGACTTACAGTGTTACGTACCTGGTTGCATGATATGGATCTGATAATAAATAATAGTGCAAAAATAACTTTTGCACTATTCAATGGAAGTTGCCCAACCAAACAGGCATTAGATGTATTCAACAAGTCAATTTTTTCCTCAACAAAATTTAACCCCAGAAGCATCCCATTAGTACATCATCTTAGATAGTGATGGAAAAGGCTGAGATTTTTAAGATCAAGACACAAGTGTAAACAAACTCGAAAGTGAGAGGAAAGTGTTATTATAACTACAAATGATTCCACAAGATCCACTCTTGCAGAACATACTACTACAATCCTATATTTTTCATGCTAATTGGTAATTGTACTTTCCCGAAAATTACCAATGCTGCATACTAAAGAACACTCTTAGCTTGGGATGCTCACAAAACAAAGGAACCAAAATAAACTTGAGCCTCAACAGAACCATTTTTACTGATCTATGACAAATTTCATTCTACTGCTTCATCTTCTGTGTTACTTCCTTCGGTCTGTATCTGAGGAAGAGTTTCCAAATCTATACCAACTTCTTTCTCTTCCAAGGGAATGGATGTATCAGAATGATCTTCGAGTGTGGTATCACCTGAGGCAGAAGGTGTGATAGTCGAGGCAGTTGAGGAGATTTCTGAGGTTGAAGTAAAACCCTCATTTCCTGTGGAAGTTATATTAGAATCAGATAGAGTTTTTTCAACAATCTGTACAGATGCGTTCATTTGCTGTGTAAAAGTGAACGGCAATGAGTGTTCCCCGCCAGCTATGACATTATTACCCTCAATGGTGGAATTTATATTTGATTCTGTCAAATTTGGCAATGTTACTATCAGTTCAAGATGACTGTTTGTTTCCACCATTCTTGTTTTGTTCAACAGTGAGGTATTCATAGAGGTGGATAAGACGTGCTCTGGGACACTTTCATCATGGCCTGTCGTGATTAGGGAACGGTTTGTCTCGCGATCATCTGTTAACTGAGTTGCGTTTTGTCCAATTGCATCTTCAAAGCCGGTATCATGGGTGACTGCACTTGAAGCGTCATCTGCTTTATAAAGTGCCTCATGGGTACTCATTGAGTCTTCTTCATCAAGCTCATGATCAGTATTCTCTTCAGAACTTTTCATATCAGTTTCTACGTCAACAAGTTCATCTTCTTGTTCATCAGATTTCTCTTGATCATGTTCATCAACAGCATCATCTCCACCCCCTCTATCTTCATCATTTTCATCTTCAAACTTGTTGTCTTGATCTGGTTCCACTTCTTCAGTCTTGGCGTCTTCATCTTCATCTTGGTTTTCATTATCTTGCTTGGGTTTAGTTGTAGTAATTCCGTTTGATGAATGGGGAAGGAGACTTTTCCTTCCCCACTTTGTTGTTTCATATATGCTCCCTGACTTCAGTGAAAAGCCTGAATCAGTTTCGTCAAACTCTTTGCCTTTATCGTAGGAGCGCTTTACTTGATAAACCAGCCAGAAGCAAACAGCAAGCAACAGGCAAATTTGTAGAACATGTTTGGTCTTGATTCCTTTTGATCTATGGCTCCTGCTTGTTGGAGATTGCTTGAACATGATGATTGAGGAAGAGTACTATGTTTCTGTGTAACAAGTTAGAAAATATAAAGTTAGTCTAGATCATGGATGCATATAGATCAACATAAGCTGCTAGGGTCCATTTGGAACACAAAAATGCTACATTGCTAGGGAAAAAATAAGATGAGAAAGATGAGAATATCTGAAAGAAATGTGATATATGTTTGAAACTTTGAACACATTTTTAAAAATTTATTTCAAATATACCACCCCATCCATTCCAAATAACTTTTCTCACCTTTCTTTTTGGGCTATTTCATATATCTGGTATCAGTTCTGCTTTTTTTTTGTAAAGGACCTACATAATAGAACTTTACCTACCATTAACTACATATGCACCCACCCAAAAGGTGACTTTTCTCACTTCTGTAAAATCTTTCTCAAACTCTGCAAACTGAAATGTGACAAGTAATTTGGAACTGAAGACATATATAGATTATGAAATCGAAATACATGCAAAATGTTGAAAGTTATAATATAGTTTGATTTCCCTACGCACCTTCTAAAAAGAAAAGAAAAAAACTACTTTCTTCAGCACTTCCCCCCTTTCTATACCATTTTCCAGGTTTCAAACATAGCCCTAGAGTTGAAAGAAAGCATATAGAAACTACAACGGTACAGTAAACTGCATTTTTCAAAGAACTCAGGCAAGCGCAAAGCTAACGTGGTTTCTTTCCATTGCAACAAGCATCTTTTAACTTCAGAAAGCACATGAACTAAATGCACTAAGAATGAAAAGATAAATTAGTACTTCATATTATCAAACATATGGAGGCACAAATTAAATTCTGAATCATATAAATTTCTTCTCAAACACTATGTAATTATTTTCCATGAAAGCAATTCTCTACCAACTATTCCATTCTTTCCATTGGGATATCATTAGGGGCCAAATGTAATATATAAAATAACATCAATATCAATATATAAAAGTCAAATAGAATATGCGAATCATAAATTAATCAACCATGCTTGTTGTACCCACCACTTTGTACCCACCTTATACCCACCTCTGTGAAAGCTATTTTTTTGTATGTGAAGCCGGTTCACAGACAAAATATGTCTTTGAATTCCTTCACAAACATATTTTGTCTGTGAAGGAATTCACAGACAAAAAAACAACTTCACAAACATGGGTTGGTACAAAAGTGGGTATAAAAGTGGGTACAAACATCATTTTCCTAAATTAATCATAACAAAAACTATTGAGAATATGTGAAAATCAGAAGCATGTATTCACATCAATTGTACATTAACAGTTAGACATAAAATGGTGGTTTTATCAGCTGTATATAGCCTCACACTAAAAAGTAAGATTGTAGATTTTACTCATTTAATTCACAACAGCAATCTAGGGATATTCCAGAATTCATTATTCACAATTTAGAACAACAATTTGACTCGTATGGAACAAAAGGTCTATAAGCTGAATGCGAACAAGTCACAATATTCACATTAAATCACAGATCATAATTCATCGAACTAAAGACGAATTCAGAATTTACAACTTGAAAATTCACAAGTAAGTTCCATAAATCTAAGGAGCAATCTTTCTGAATTCACAAACAGCACCGTCAAATTCCAGAAATAAAATGAACTCAATAAAATATAAGAAAAACAAAACTGAAAGTAAAATACACACCTGAAAGATCGGAAGACCAGCAACTCAGCGAGCAGGCAAGGGCGGAGGCAGAAGCCGCGCAGGGCCGGACCCGGGACAGTAGGGCACTGCGGTCTGCGAAGCGAATCAAAGAATTGCAGGGGCGATTCGGACGATTCCGAGCTTTCCAGCAATGCGGAGAACGACGACCGGCGTGATTGGCAGCAGGTCTCAACTTGTTTGCTTCGACAGTTCAACTCGCGGTTACCGGTGAGGATGGACGAACTGAGGTCCAGTGCCTTCAGTGCTTCGCTTTCTTTGTTTGGGGCGAACTGAGGTCCAGTGCCTAGAACACCATTTTGTGTGTGGGGGCCTGATTTTAGTAGGCCCTTTTGTGTGTGATGTGTCACTAAATTATCAAAATACAAATACAAACTTAGTTTAAATTTTTAAAAAAGGTGACAAATATAGTGATTAGTTCTCAATGACTCATCATTATCTATTGGTGACTCGTCACTTTGAATACATATAGTGACTCTTGTCCAATTATTCGTACACAGAGACACGTCATATTTTTTTTGCCAAAAACATAATTAGTCATAGTTTTATCTAGGGAAATTCTCTTAGTAATATACATGTCATTTATTTTATTTTATTTTATTATGTACATACTACGGAGTGGTTTTTGAGAAATTCACACATAAGGTTAAAAGTGAAAAGAAAAATCTGACTCAATCTTTTTATAATAGGTTAAAAATTTAATTATTATTATTATTATTATTATTATTACTATCATCATCATCATTTCATTTATTTGGCATGGATTCATCTTTGTTTGGCGACATGCGAGATTCTAACGGGCTCTTAGGCTTTGTTTGCAAGTGATTGTGCTTAAATAAAAGCACTTTTTGGGAAAAAATGGTTAGTAGTAAAAGTTGGTAGCGTTTGGTAAAATAAGTGTTTTTTGTGTAATAGAAAAAGTAAAAAGTAGATTCTACACAGAAGCCGAGAAAGTAAAAGTTGGTAGTGTTTGGTAAAATAAGTGCTTTTTTCTTTAAAAAAAAGCCACAATCACTTAAATTAAGTGATTGCAAACACAGCCTTAATGTGTGCTAGCCAAAAGGCGTACCCCTGCCAAAAAGAAAAAAAACCTATTACAAGCTAAGCATATGATATTACCTTTTTTACAGTATAAAACACAAGTTTCAATTACAAATGTTTAATTAGCACATTCCATATAAATCAATTCGAATAATTTGGCAATCATTATTCCATATAATCAGGGGCGAAGGTAGGCTTTCACTCCAGGGGGTCAAGCCCCCCCCCCCCCCCAACTTTTTTTAGTGAGCACTAGTATTGTGTTTAAAGGTCAAAATTGAATTAAATTGCATATTAATTAAAATAATATAGATGCATCTATCCGCGGACCTAATAGAGTCTGGAAATAACCTTTACATCATGTATACTATCAGCACGTATTACTCATTGTTTAAAATTGAAAGGAGTTTTATACTTTTATTAGTACATTCATTAGTATTTATTGACTAGCAAATTAATCTAACGTACTTCATTAGTGAAGTTATGTCACTTGTTATGTTTTTAGATATGTGAACATGTGATCCTGTGATTGTTGTTGTCTTAACATTGTTAAAACATTGGGTTATGTTTTACAACTTGAAGTATTAAGTATTAACTAAAGAAACACTATTAATTATTTAAACAATATAATAATTATAGACTTGGCCATATTACACCAGATTACCAAAACACTTCAGACTACAAAGGACATTTGTGATTAACTCAATAATTTTGAAGTGTTTATTTTTTAGATAAAACAAATAGCGCGGACTCTCTAATTTATAGTTTCTGTAACATGCAAGAGTGACTTTGTAATTTTTAATTCGCACAACGTTTGATCATATGTTTTAGATGAATATCTATGCGTCAATCAATGTTGATTTCATTTTTTATTTGAAATTTTACTATTTTTTATTTCACCCCGCCCCCCTCTCCGTCGTATCCTGGCTCCGCTCCTACATATAATAAAACTCAAATAAACTAAATCAGTTCAAACTTCAAACCACAAGAATTGAAATGCAACTATATAAACAGGTCCTAAAATATCTAATTAAAATAGCTAATTAATTCAAGCTAAGGATATTCATTAATTAAAAACCTGGTCAAGTTAAACCGTGTAAAGCACTAACTAACTTTGGTTAATTAATGCAGGATCATAATGTATATACATTTAACTGAGAGATCACGACTTGAATTTGGAGTTCCTAGCTCGTGGTAACGGAATAATGACATATAATAATTATAAGAATAAATCTAAGTTACATGATAATATTCCTTTAATTTGCTTCCCTCTAAAGATATCCTTGCTTAAACAAAAATTCTCTTTATGGTTCTATTCTTCTCCTAGATTAGATCACCCCCATAAGTCATTCCCATGCAATAAGCCGATTCAATACCTATATATATATATACCTCATACCCTTTAATTAACTTCCATCTAAATTAAATCAAGCCTTCTCCTTGGCTGTTAATCTTCAAATTAAGATAAATGATGGGAAGCATTTCCATATTTATTAGTGCATTATTATTGTTCCATGCTTCATTAGCATCATCAGAAGTTTCAACCGGAGATTTCAACAAAGACTTTTCAGTGAAATGGTCACCTGATCATGTCAATACTTCGGCAGATGGTCGATCAAGAAGCTTGAAACTCGACCGTCACTCTGGTAGATATATGCTCACATTATTCTCTTTCAGGGAGATTTGCAATTTTATTCACGTAATTTTTTATTGTTCCTACTATGAATTCTGTAGCTTTACTCACATGCAGATTTAGTTCTATAACTAATTGAGTGATTTTAATTTTCACAAGAAATTACACTTCCTACCCAAAAATATGTACCTGAAAAGACGTCGTTAATTAGCGTAAAGTGTACTTTCTGTACTCCTATTTAAGAATTTTCTAATTAAGAAACGTAACTTCATATGAAAATGTTACGATCGAAACTAAAATTGTGTTCATTATACTTGATAACTTTCACACACTAATATAATACGAAGTACATTAATTAAAATCAATATGTGAAATTTACCACTATCGGTAAGAAAAGTCAAAAATGACATTTTTTTATGCGATAACAGCCTAATAGGAATACAAATCAACTTTGCCGTGTAATAAATTATGAAGAATGTATTGAACTGAAGAATACTAATTAATATTCAGTTTGATGGAAGTACTAATTAATCTTATTAATTAATCTTGGTTTTGATCTCTTCTATGTTATTATATTATTATATTCAGGAAGTGTGATGTCTAGCAATTATACATTCTTGTTTGGTCAATTTGACATGCAAATCAAATTGATCCCGGGGAATTCAGCTGGCACTGTTGTCGCGTTTTATGTAAGTCTATTTCTATTACATACTCCGTATAATATGTTGATTTGCACATATATATGATTCGGAAAATGGAATGGTAATATATAATGGATAGGTCCTTTTCTTTATACTTTCTACATTGTAGGTAAATGTGTTGCAAAAGTTTCCCAATTCTAGCTAAAGTCGCGACATTCTATGTATGTTACATATCATAAAAACTGTTATAGGCCGGGACTAAAGTTTCCCAAATCTAATCTTCTTCGATCTAAAGCTCTTACTCGTGGATTATACATCATTATTGAACTTAAAATTTAAGATGTACTACGTAATAAATTGTTTAGTGTAGTTTCTGGATCCGGATTCTCTGCCTTGACAAGGAGGGTGCATGACTAAGGATGGCAATGGGGGCAGGGACCCGTGGGGAACCGCCCCGTGGGGGAAGGATGGGGCGGGGCTTGGAGTGGGGCGGGGGCGGAGATGAGTATGATATTTTTACCCCGATAAAATATAGGGCGGGGGACAGGAATTGCTACACCCACCCCATCCCCGCTCCGCCCCCGTTATAAATATATACTCAAACGTATATATATACACATATATAAATAATGTACAAACATATTAAATTATATGTTGTATATAACAAATGCATATACATATACATATAGACATACATAATTGTATACCTTTTAGTCATGGTTAGTGAATCGATACATATTATACTAGAATAATAATAAGGTAGTAGTGATTAAAAAAATTTATCATAAATGTTATACTCCGTATGAGTTTTAAGAGTGAGAAAGTGAGTAAATAAACACACCTACATTTATATGTAACATGTAATTAATTGTATTATAATTGTTGAAAATTTTGGAACGATGTACATGATGATAATATGTTTACTTATATTTTTACTTTAACTGTCTTCAATTCACAAAACTCATTCAAATTGAAGAATTATTAAAATCGGCGGTATTAACTTTTAACAAACACAATACTTCAGTGTTGCATATATGTGTGTGTGTGTTTGTGTGTGTAGATATATATAGATTTAGGATCAAATTAGAACAATGCTTAACGTGAGAACGTGGGAACACCACATTTACCCCCAATGTGATGCACAATAAGGCTCGCACAATGCAATTTTTCGTATCAAACATAATAATTACAAAAGTGTCACCGTGATTATTTATATTAGCTTGTATAGAGCAAAGTCAATATGTGCACTAGAAGGGCTTTATTGTGTATCACATTGGATTAAATGTGAGTATTCTCCCGTTAAACATCGTTCTCACTGGAACTGCGCCATATATTTTTATAATGGATTAAAAGTATATGCAAATACGATAAATTAAATCTACATGTGGGCACCCGTGGGGACAACGGGGTGGGGCGGGGATGGGGCGGGGATGGGGCGGGTCTGAGAGTAACGGGGGATGGGGGGAACTTTTTAGACATGGGGCGGGGGATGGGGGAGTCCCGCCCCAAACCCGCCCCATTGTCATTCCTATGCATGACTATTTGTAACCCTCACATCAAAACATATACTCCCTCCGTCCCAATTGTTTTGCAAAGTCAACATTTTTTGGTCAACCAATAATAAAAGTCAACCCTCTCTATGGATAGCTAATTCAATTTTTAATAATTAAAATTTATATATTCAAAAACTACATTAAAATCTCTTCAAAGTTGTAAACTCCAAATTAGAATACAATTAAAAATCGGCATCCTAATTAGGTGAACAAAACGAGACCATTTGGCTAACAAAAGTCAAATTTGCAACTCAATTTGGGACGGAGGTAGTATGGTAGAAGATTAAGGGCTCCACATTTGACACGAATCTTGAGACTTAATTTTTAATCTCTGCTATCCAATTGAGTAAGACACCTTGCCTAATGATAGAGGATCTCAATCCAGTTTTTAAGTATATATTCAAATTCATGAGTTTAAAGTTCATAGGAGATTTAAGTAT